CAGTGTCACAGTGTTCAGCTTCACAGTGACCACAAGTTACCTCTGTACAGCAAGTGGACACTCCAGGGCTATACAACCTAGAAGACTGTTTAAACAAAAACAAAGAAAAATAGGCCCAAGGGCCGCCTTCCGTATCTTACCATTCTGGCACACCCAAATGCTGGCCAACTCTGGCCCAGCGACCCCCAGTTCATCTGGCAAGTCGGCACAGAGAAAGACACAAGCGCCAGGAGCCTTCCATACCTGCTTCTCCTCAAGAAGCCAGAGGCCGCATGCAGCTGACACTAATATACTGGTTAATTTACGAAGTTCATGCACGTTGTTATCCACACCAGATCTTTCCCATTTCCTTCACCCGCCGCCGCCCCCCCACCCCGCCTCTCTCCATCCATCAAATTGTGCAACCCTATTGTTAGGTTAGGTTAGTGGGTTTAAAGAAGAAATCAGAGAGAACGAGAGAAAGCTTAATGCAGCTTTATTAAAGGGGGGAAAGGGGAGCTCCCTGCTGAGTTCCTTATCCTGGAGAGGCAGAATGGGAAGTCACACTGTGAACTTACTGGGGAGGATTTTTATAAACAGAGTTTTTAGGGAGGGACATTCCACTCTGACTTACGAGCCACCTGCTAGCTTAGCCAGACAGGCAAGGCCGTTTTCTTATAAGCAACAAGCAAGGCCATCAGCATTTGAGTTCTGAATTCTCCATTCTTCTCTTTGGCCCTCTTTGCTCAGACTAACACCTATGATTATTGCCCACCCCCTAATCCTCAGCCCTCTGCTCCTACCTTCCCCCCTCCCAACTCTTCCCTCTTGGATTCTCATAGTCGTTCTACTGGTTTACTTCTCATAGTCGTTCTACTGGTTTACTTACAAAGTTCAAATACATTGTTTTTCACACTGGATCTTTCCCATCTCCTTTACCCAGCCCTCCCTCCACTCATCAAATTGTGTCACCCTATGATTAACCTCCCTACCCCACCCCATCTTCACCCCTCTGCTCCCATCCTCCCATCTCCTTAAATCCTCATACTCATTCTCCAATAATGATCTTTTTTTTCCCAGGTTTTCAGAGGCAGCTTGATAGCATGAGAGGATATTACCCATCCTTCTCCTGTGGAGCAGCTGGTGTCCTCAAATCCTGTGCCTTTGGGATTACAGCACAGCTTCTTGCCAGTAGGCCACCAGAGCTCCCAGAAGTACACATTAATGTCTTCAAAATATTATCTCTTTAAAAAAATAAAGAAAAGAATAAGAAATTTGAAAAGGTCTCTTGTAGTAGAACTGACCACTGGAATGGGGTGTTTGACATCTTGACTATTACTTTCATGGTCTTGATTCTGGATCCAAGAAAATTTAATTTATTAGCAGTTCAAAATTTTCTTCAGTTATCACAACGCTATTTGTTAGTCCAGTTGTAACATTTTTTTTTTACATTTATTACCATTGTTAAAGGGTAATCCATAACAAACATAGCTGTTTTGTGTCTCCATCATTCAGTGCTTCAAGTTTTCTGTTTTTAGCAAGCATGGTTGTGTTGTTCCAATAATGGCCTTATACAGTTGTTGGGGTTTTTTTATTACAGGATTGAGTTAGTTCACTTAGCATAATGCTCTCCAGACCCTCCCAAATTAAGTAGTAATTTACAACATCATTGTTCCTGCATGCTGCATAGTAGTTAATCATGTGACTGTACCATAATTTCTCAACCCATTCATTTGTGGTTGGACATGTGGGCTGTTTCCATGTTCTTGCAATAGTGAATAATGCTGCTATGAACACTGGTGTATGAGTCTCTGTTAGTGCCTCAGTTCTCATTTTCTCAGAGTATATTTCAAGCAGTGGAATAGCTGGGTCATATGGAATTTCTATGTTCTCCTTTCTGAAGAAGTGCCAAACTGCCTTCTAGAGTGGTTGTACCATTTTACAATCCCACCAACAATGTATAAGAGTTCCTATCTTAAGAAGCTGCACTGCAATCCCAGAGGCACATGGTTCGAATCCACCAGATGCTCTGTTGAGGAAGGAAGGGCAATCTCCTCCTGTACCAGTCAGATCTGATTTGACGGTACACACACACACACACACACACACACACACACAAAAAAAAAAAAAGAGTTCCTATCTTGCCACATCCTCTCCAATATTTATTACTTGCTGTTCTGTTAAATTTTGCCACTACTAACTGGAGTGAGATGGTATCTCATTGTGGTTTTGATTTGCACCTCTCTTATTGCCAGTGATTTTAGCATTTCTTCATGTGTCTGCTTGCCATAAGAATTCCTCTGGTTAAAGTC